TGCATGACCCATGGACATGAACAATGGTGTGGGGATTGCCTGAAGGAGTGGGGCGTGCTGGTTGAAGGTGGGCGGGGGGGGGGGGAATTGAGACAACTGTAACAGCATAATCAATAAAATATAATAAAAAGTAAAGAGAATTGATCTTTTAAATCAACAACAAATGAAGTTATGACAATTTGAGAGAGGGCTCTAAGGGTAATGGCTTCCTCTACTAGGAATGTAATTTTGTCACTTTTTGTTTTATCAAAGACTATTCTACAAAAAATGTTGGTTACCTATGGATTTAACTAAAAGATTGTATGTGACCAGCAGACCATTCCAGGTCATACACGTTTTGTTTTGGGTTTTTGTTGTTTCTTTTTTTACAGTTAAAAAATTCCTTGCATTTTATTTTATTTTTTCTAATTTTTATTATTTTTTTTGTTTTAAGATTTTATTTTATTTTTTAATTTATAAATCATGTTTCTTCTATTATAGTTGTCTCAGTTTTCACCCCTTTCCCCCCTTCACCCATCCCACCCCCACCCCCCACTCCCACAATCAATTCCCACTCTGTTGTCCATGTCCATGGGTCATTAATACATGTTCTTTGTCTAGTCCTTTCCCCTTCTTTCCACCATTGTCCTCTTTCCCCATCCCCTCTGGTACACTTTCAGTCTGCTCCATGTTTCCATTCCTGTGGTTTATTTTGTTAGTTTATTTTGTTGAATAGAGTCCACTTATAGGTGAGATCATATGGTATTTATCTTTCATCAACTGGCTTATTTCACTTAGCTTAATATTCTCCAGTTCCACGCATGTTGTTGCAAACGGTCTCTCTTTCTTTCTTAAATGCAGATTGATTTTATTTATTTTTTTAAATGTCAAAGTTAATTGTAAAATATTTAAAAAATTTAAAACCATTATAAAGTTTCAGCAATTAAACCAACATGACAAAAGCACAGAAATAATCAAGTAAATCAATGAAATATAATGAGCATTCTAGAGACAAATGTATATATCTGTCTAACAATATATGATTAAGTTGATATTTCAAATCAATGGGGGAAATAAGGCTTACTCAAGAAATAAGATGAGTGGACCACTTATACTTGAAATAAAACAAATATAGAGCCCTATTTCATACATTATACAAGAAATATTCAGGTGAGTTAAAAATTAATATGTAGAATCTAAGGAGTTTTAGAGAAAATAGGACTAATATTTTTCATGACCTGAAGTAAAACATTCAAACCCAGAAGCTATAAAGTAAATACTGACAATATGACTATATTAAACATTTAACTATATAGTAATATACATTTAAAAAAATTAAAGGACAAGGAATAAAATAGAAAAGCATTTGCAACACATCTAAAACATGGTTAATAGGGGGTTTTTTTAGAGAAAAAAATTCTACAAACCTTTAATCAATAAATGGATAAAGAATACCAAAAAGTCATTTAAAGCTTTTTTAAAAAAAATAATAGAAATAGGCAAGAAATATAACAAAACAGGTTTAGTTTCAACAGATAGTAAAGAAACAAAATAACACATCATTGTCACAATCGGATTAATGAGTATTAAAAATATTGGTAATATCAAGTATTGGCAACTCTGAAAGGAACTGGGTATTCATGGAAACTTTTTCTTCATCTTAAAGCAGTCCCTTTAGCGTATTTTGCAGTGCTGGTTTGGTGGAGGTGTATTCTTTTAGCCTTCTTTTGTCTGGGAAACTCCTTATTTCACCTTCCATTTTAATTGAGAGCCTTGTTGGGTAGAGCAGTCTTGGTTGCAGGTCTTTGCTTTTCATGACTTGGAATATTTCTTGCCATTCCCTTCTGGCTTGCAGTGTTTCTGTTGAGAAGTCAGATGCTAGCCGTATCAGGGCTCCCTTATATGTTACTACCTCTTTCTCCCTTGCTTGCTTTAGGATTCTGTTTGTCGTTGATATTTGCCATTTTAATGATGATGTATCTTGGAGTGGGCCTCACTGGGTTCCTCTTGAATGGGACCCTCTGTGCTTCCTGGACTTGTGTGACTTTTTCTCTCCTCAAATGAGGGAAGTTTTCCATCATTACTTTTTCAAACAGGTTCTCTATCCCTTCCTCATCCTCTTCTCCTTCTGGTATCCCTATTATACAGATATTATTACGTTTCAGGTTGTCCTGCATTTCCCTCAATGTCTCTTCATTCTTTTTGAGTCTTTTTTCATTGTCTTGCTCTTTCTGGAAGCTTTTTTCTACCTTGTCCTCCAGCCTGCTGGTTCGATCCTCTGCTTCATCGAGCCTGCTTTCGATTCCTTCTACTGTGTTCTTCAACTCTGAAATTGTATTCTTCGTTTCCTCTTGTTTCTTATTGATAGTTTCTATGTCTTTTTCCATGCTGATACAGTTTGCAGTAAGTTCCTAGTAGTTTCCCTGCAGTTTTTTGTAATTCTCTCTGAGCTCACTGAGCTCATGGAGCTTCCTTAGAACCATTGTTTGAAATTCAGTATCTAATAATTTACTTGCCTCTATTTCATTTAGTTCTCTTTGTAGGGATTCCTCCTTTCCTTTCGAGTGGGGTGTATTTCTTTGTCTTCCCATTATGTGTGACTCTTTTCTTTTGTTTCTGCTTCTTAAGCTGATTTGTCTTGATTTCCATTGATTTGTCTATGGTTGGAGACCACTGTTTTTACTTTCTGGATCTGCCTGTGATGATGTCAGATGCTGATCCTGTCTGACCTTAGGCAGTCTGTTCAAGACTTCCAGTAATCTCCTGTCTGTGGCTGTCTCCTTTAGCTGTTCACTCTGCACTCAGCAGGGTGCCTTCGCTCAGGGCGGGGCAGAGTCCCTCCTGGGGGCCGGGTTATTGGGTCCTCTCAGGCTGCCACCATAAGGGGGAGGAGTCCGCACTGGGATCCTGCCGGCTACTGTCTCCGTTCTCTCCCCAAATCCTCCATCCCCAGCCTCTCCTCAAGGTTGCCAGACCTCTCTGCACCCCCTTTAGCCAGGGATCTATTCTCTGTGGCTGCCACTCTGCACTCAGCAGGCAGATCAGAAAGCACAGGGCGGGGTGGAATCTCACCTGGGGACGGCACTATTGGGATTTCTGACTCTGCTGCCCCATGGAGGATGAGTCAGCACTGAGATCCCGCAGGCTACTCTCTCAGTTCTCTCCCCAAAGCCTCCTTCCCCAGTCTCTCCTCAGGCGTCTCTAGACCACTCTCCTCTGCCTTTGCAGGAGACCAGGGTAAGTGGCTGCAAATAAAAATTTATGTTGGCCCTTTAAGCAGTTGTTTGTACCTCCAGCTACCTGTCTCTGGCAGAGAGCAACGCTGCCGCTCTTCGCAACTAGCTGTTTTCTGTGTACTTTTCGGGCTCATGCTGTGGGCTAGAGAGCCCCACTTTTGGTTTAGACCCTGCTTTTCTCAGGGGGATCCAACTGGTCGATTCAATATCCTTCTGGTGCTGCTGCCCGTGGGCGCCCCGCCAGCCTTCTCAGGTCTGTACCGCACTCCTTACCAGTTAGGTTGCGCTAAAGCCTATTCTTCCGTTCCCGAGGTTACAAGGCTCCTCTCTCCCTATTGTTTGGTTGTTTTTTCCAGCTGATTTCTCCCCAATTTAGCTGTAATTCCAGGTTGGTCCTGGGAGGAGGTCAGTGTGACTTCCACTCACTTCTCCACCATCTTGATTCATCCCAGATCATATACGTTATGGCAGTTTGTGGTGTGGTTTTAGTGGTTATTTGGAAGCTTTGTGCTACTGTTACATGTAGTTTTGTTTCAAAGACCCACTTAAATACTTTGAGAATACACCTTGTTTTATTTGTTCATTCAGCACACATTTACCTGAGTACCAGCTCTCAGATCCTGGCAGGTGTTAGATACATGAAGATGTAACATAAGAGTTCAGTATAGTACATTGCCAGGTACCTAGGTTCCCTCATTGTTACTGAGTGAACTCCATGGCAGGACTTCTCAACCTCAGCATTTTGACATATTAAGCCAGATAATTCTTTGTTGTGGGGTGCTGTCCCAAGGAGCATGATAGGAGTTTAGGAGCATTCCTGGCCTCTTGTCTACTAGATGCTAATAACACTACCCCTACCCCAGCTTGTGACAATCAAAAACTGTCTACAGACATTCCCAGATATCCCCTGGAGCAAATCCAAAATGAGAATCAGACTATCTGTGTCATTAGCAAAGGGTTTTGGTAAAAATTAGTTTTCAAAAATACAAAACAAGCAAATGTAATGAAAACAACCCAGATCTGCCACACATTGCTTATTACTCCACGGGATTATATATACATAACAGTAGTACTGAATAATACCTATTTGTGTTTCTAGTTTACATATCTGTGAGATCTCTTTCTGAGTTAGTATGTCTGAGTTAGTGTGTATTAGGATAATTATTCCATTTTTTTAATGGCCACTAAGACAACGAACAATGCAGTAATTGGAAAGGGTGAGTCTACTATTTATAAAAACATTAGTTCTTTTGGACTTTTATATTAAAATTACCCTCTTCTTGTTAAGAATTAAAATATTTTATGTTCTTTAATGAGTAGCCTGGACAACTGGCACATTTTTTTAATGTTTTCTGTGTTTTTCAGGCACATAACTTTGAATTTTGCTACATTACTTATGGAACACTGCCTAACTTAGACTTCTTCACTTTACTGCTTTCCCATATTCAAACAATGTATAATGAACATTATACAACTAAGAATTTAATAGTCTCTTAAAGCTTGTATTCTAGTAATGCCTTCATTCTCAAAGTAGAGGGATCACTTTCCTGTTAGAAACAGCACTTAACTAGTAGTTCTGAAACCTGAGTTTTAGGTTCACCTCTGGTATGAACTAGCATTTAAGCATCCATTTACCCTCTCAGTTTTAGTTTCTTCACCTGTGACAGAGATAGAGACAGACAGAGATAGAGACAGACTCTTTTATCCTGTTTTCCAGATAAATATCCTAAATTCCAAAAGTACACACTTTGCTCGAATTTGGTTTTTGTATCCTTATTCTTACAGAATATCCACATTTCAGTTTCCGTGCCCATCAACAGTTTTAATTCATCATGGATAACCTGTCATCAGAAGAAATTCAGTTGAGGGCTCACCAGGTTACTGATGAGGTAAACATTTTACTTGGAATAAGTAATTAATTTTCTTTTTTTTATCCCCACAGTGGAAGGTTGGGAACACCTTCTTAGAAGACTATTTTGGCTTCTTCTTAGTGTCTTCATATCAAAGAGTGCATTTGCCCTAGAGTGCCATTACTAGCTGTTTATTTTTTCATTTTACCAAAAACCTAAATAAGTGAAAACAATTTTTATGATTTCTTTTTTACATAATCATTACTTAACAGCTACTTACAATACTTAACAAAAAACACAGTCCGGATTTGAGGAATTCTGGACATTTAATTTTAACAGAACTTTCTAATATCTGTGTAATATACCTAGATTTCTGCTTCCATTAAATTTTTATAAATCCCATTAACCTCACCCTTCAAATTTTTTCTTAAGAGCACCTGGTAGAAAGAAAACTAAAATTATAATGATCAAATTTTTTTGTTTGTTTTAAAGGGAGGAATTGATGTGCTGGTAATCTTTCTTTTAAATATATTTAAAGATTTTTTTTTTTAGTTTATTATTTTTAGGGAGAAGGGAAGGGAGGGAGAGAAATATCAATGTGCAAGAGAAACATGTATGGTTGCCTCTTGCACACCCCCAACGAGGGACCAGCCCACAACCCAGGCATATGTCCTGACCAGGAATTGAGTCAGTGGACCTTTTGCTTTGTGGGAATGACACTCAGCCCACTAAGCCACACTAGTCATTGTTGCTGGCAATCTTTAAAAAATAGAGTAGCATCATGAATATAGCCTGTGATCAGATTTTACTTTTAAAAAAATTTATTTTTAGAGAGAAGGAAAGCAGGGGGGAGAAACATTGATGTACATCAATCATACCCCCAACTGGGGACCTGGCCCACAACCCAGGCATGAGTCCTGAGCAGGAAGTGAACTGGTGACCTTTTGGTTTGTGAGAGGACGCCCAACACACTGAGCCACACTTGTCAGGGTGGATTTTACTTTTTTTCTACATGTTTTAGAATACTAAAATTCTTACGTTTTTTCCTAGTCTCTGGAAAGTACAAGGAGAATCCTGAATTTAGCCATTGAGGTAAGAAGGTGTTTAATTATCAAGTTAAATACAGAAACTGTATAGGAGGGATCCTGATAGCAAAACCTGGAATTTGTGTTAAAAGTCAGAAAGGCGTTGTATCAATAAGCTTTATTATTTGAAACCAGCAATTAATTGAAACCAGAAGTAGTCACACCACACATTAATGGAACTTTCTTTGTCTCCATTGACAACATCAGAAAATGACAGGAAGATTAATGCACCATGAGTTTGTGATTTACTTATTTGGTGGGAGGTAGTATGTTAAAGTGTGTTGGTTTGGGGATATTAATTTTCTCTGTAGTTATACTCTTCTAGTAACTTAGGTTTCTAAATGAGTCTCTCCTGCTATTTATCAGGCCTTATAGTTTTTTTTTCTGTTACTTTTGCTATGTTTTGTTGGGCTATCAGCTTTTTCCCCTTCTTTTAGTCTCAGGATGCAGGAATCAAGACTATCACTATGCTGGATGAACAAGGAGGTGAGTCAAAATTATTGGCAGAAACTTTTGATTTGACTTATGATGGCAGAAAGCCCTTTCAAACCAGACATGTATAAAATTAAGCGTTTGGGAGTGGCTTCCCTTTGTAACATATGAGTGGTATATTTACATCTTTTCTTCTATGTTTATTGCTAATTGGAGGTAGGGACAACAGTGTCCAATTGTATGCCAGGTATTTGTTAGGTAGTAGGATTTATTATATATATTGGTCATATGTACATTAGACATTGTGATATTTTTGCATTATTTTCAGAAATCAAGTCCTTAAATAGGTTTAGATTCAGGCAAGTTTGGAAACGTTGCATGTGAGTTGGCTTCAGTAATCTGGTCTGGTCTTTACTAGTCTTACGACAGCCCTCAGGTTTTAAGCCTTTTGAGATAGTAATGCTGGGGATCTGGTCTGGTCACAGTACACTTAATTTGGTTGCAAGAGTGATCTCTAAGCAAACGCTCACATGCTTCTATTATACAAATTTCTTTGGAACAAATCTTTTCCTCAGTAAGAGGACAGGTGCCTCAGGATCAGTATATGAAAGATTATTTTTATGTTGTACAGTATGTACTACCTCTGGACACTGATACAGTTACTGTGGTGTGTTATTGCTGGATATAAGGTTTAAGTTTGCTGTTTTATAATAATAGTTAGCACTACAAATGTAACATAAAATGTCATTTCCACAACTCATTCTTAGAACAACTAAACCGCATAGAAGAAGGAATGGACCAAATAAACAAAGACATGAGAGAGGCAGAGAAGACTTTAACAGAACTCAACAAGTGCTGTGGTCTTTGTGTCTGCCCATGTAATAGGTGAGTTGATAACTCAAGACCTTTGAAAAATAAATTTAAAGTGAGATCATCCCCTCTCCCTGTCCCTGTTAAGGTAATGAAGTGTGGCTAGGCCTAAAAAAGGAACTTTGTCAGAAAAACTTAAGCTATTTCTCCTTCAGGCAGATCAAGCTTTTCATGTGAATGGGTGGATTTACTGAAAACCATGTCTTAAATTTGATCAATTCTTGGATCAAGTCCCAATCTTATTTTTTAGTAATATATGAAAAGGCTGGGAAATATACATCTAGATAATACAGAGCAGAATGGAATTAGTGTCTTTTTCTTTCAAACAAGGGTTGTTAACAAAATATATATTCTGTAGTAGGCACATGAGGGATGGCCAGGGGAGTAAAGGGCTTGGATTCTGTCTTCAAAAGACTTACCATGTGTTTGGATGTATGAAGAAGAATAGCAAAAAGTAAAAAAATATATAAATCTAGGGCCAGGTCATGTGATATCCATTAAGGCTAAGAGTACAGAATTGATAGAGGCTAATGTGGAGAGCATCTTACAGGAGAGGTAGGACTTGAATTGGGCTCTTGAGTGATTAGAAGGATTTGGATGGTCATGGAAAAACTGGAAGGACATTTCCAATGGAAGATTTAATGTAGACAGACATTACAGACGAGCTTGACTTAACTGAGCTGCATGATTTGTATAGATGAGAACTGGAAAATAAATAGGCAGTAGAGTAATTTGAATGTCAAGCTAGGGAGTCGGTGGTTTGGAGTGGTGTATATAACTACACACCAGGAGACTAGTTAGAAACTGTTTGTAACCTAGGCCTATGAAGTAAAACCTTATCATTGAGATGAGAGAGAAAAATGTAAGTCAGAATTCATTTTAAATTAGCTGATGGTATGTCAAATGCGAGGAAGGAAAAATCAAAGAAGACTGAAGATTTGAGATGTCTAGTAAACTAGATGAGAAGCCTTCGAACTATTTGTATATAGTGTATGAGATTATGCCTGACAGAAAGGAATTCATTCTTCTTGGTGACTTCTTTTTCAATATTTGAATTCTCTATTCTCAGGTAAACCAAACTCGATAGTGTTGACAAATACTGTATTATTCAGACATAGATGAAGTTTGGACTAAGGCAATTAACCATTATCTTGCCTTCTGTTAGAAGGAGCTCATCTTTGTTTTAAAAAGTAATTAACAAAACAACTTTGAACTTTACCCTTAGTTGAAAGGTCATTTTGTGGAGATTGCATGACTATCACTACTGCTGAGAGTATTCTTTGTTGAAGAGCTTCATAAGCATTAGCACTTCCATATAGTTGTCTCAGTTGGTATGGTAAACCAAGAATGGGATACAGAGATTTATAGACTCTCAGCATCTTTACTCCCCAAAGGGATTAGGAATGGAGGAACTTTTATTTTATTATAATTTCTTATAAGTGTTTTCATGTGATAACATTCTCTGTGTCATTTCTACTAGAGAAAATAGAGTTAAGTTGCTTGCTGATCAACTTTAGTGCTTTTTTTTTTTTTTAGGCACAAGAAGTTAAGATTTGACAGCATTCTGTCTAGTATTGTCTGTTGGCTTCCTAATATAAGACAAGTTTGTTGACCTCTTTAGACCTTGGATGACTCTCCAAAAGTGCATATTTTAATAACTATGTCAGTCAGAGTTTAGCAGATTACTGTAAGCAAACAAGTTAGAAATGCATAGATTTTTTGACCCAAACTCTATGTTTTGCAGACTTTTTCTTTTCCCCTGTGTTCTGTGTACTCTCTTGGAAGAGTGCAGAGGAGAAAAAGTTAATGAATTTCCTTGTGATTAGATATTAAGAGAAGACTAAGGAGGAAGGAGTCCTCCCTAGAACCTACAGCAAAATTACTCCTGAGTCAAGCGTTGAACAAGAAGAACAATGAATCCTAAAATGGTCTAATATCATAGAAAGTGGGAAATGAAACTACAAAAGTAGTAATTTTATTTCTCTTTGGGTATCCCAGCCAAGCGTAAGCAAGATTTTCTTATGCTTGTAAAAGACAAGGTAGAGTATGGTCCTGAAGCAAGCCTTTCCCCTCTCAACCTCAGCACAACTCTTTCTCAGTAGGTCAAGAGAAGGCACTTCTTAACAGATGGAATCAAGGGTTTACTATAACAGTTGTTCCCTGAAGAGGAGAGAGTTAGAGATATCTGATTATAATTGCCTATCCCCTCTCAACCTCAGCACAACTCTTTCTCAGTAGGTCAAGAGAAGGCACTTCTTAACAGATGGAATCAAGGGTTTACTATAACAGTTGTTCCCTGAAGAGGAGAGAGTTAGAGATATCTGATTATAATTGCCTATCTCTTCTTTATATCATGGAGACCTTGCCTCTATGGTATCTCTTGTCCTCAGCTGTATTTATTACCGTTTCTGCCAGTGTTTTGATCTTTCCAATCTTATCTGCTGGTTTCCATTAGGCTTTTCATATGAATGGCCATAACATGAGCTTCTCAAAAGTCAGTACAGGATCTTAGCCTTCTTCATATAAGGCTAGTACTAATTCTGATATTAATAATAATAACTTAGGTACACAGTCTCTTGTCTGTAATTCAGAAATCTAAAAGATTCTGAAAGCCAAAGGGTTTTTTTTTTTCCCTTAATATAGTACCACAATTTATTAGTCCACAAAATGTAATCTGAAGTTCTTTATTATCTTTACCACATTTAATGTATATGACATTTCATTTCACAGCAGAATCAGAATAATAGATATGTTTGATTATGTGGTACTGCTCAGAATGTTTCACATCAAAGGGTTTGGATAAGAGTTGTGGGCCTGTATGTTAATTTAGGCTCTTACTATTCTGATTACTTTACATTTAATCCTAACATTAACTTTAATATCAGATAGATTCTCTTCTTATCACCATTTTGCATTTGTAGAAACAGAGGCACAAGAGGCTACACTAGCAAGCAGAAGAGCCGAGATTCAAAACTAGGCAGAACCCTACCTTTGAATTATATCCTACATTGCTTGACTTCGGCAAAGAAAGAATGAACTTTTTGGTTGTTATTGTTGTTAGGTATACTCACATTGCTATATAGAAAATATCTTGAATAGATTTGTTCTTTCAGATTTTTTTTGTTCAGTAATATTCATTGAAGCCAGGTCAGCAAGTCTTTTTTTGAAATAAGAAATGGAAATAGCTTTACTTAACAGAACCTGTATTAGAAGACAATTTTAACTTGAGCTAACTTTTTTTAAGGATTACTAGAATTTAAAAACAGACTCCCAGGATTAAATTTCAAGATTGCGAATAAATGTCATATTAGCTTGCTACTGTTTGAATCCTAAAAGCAAAATAGCACATCCTTTTTAAAAAATATATATCTTTGTCAGTAACTTTGAAAAGTGGTAGTTCTAATTAACAAGAGTATAAAAGGAGGCAGGCTGAAAATGGGAAGTATCAGACTAGTAAACCCCCTGCTATACCAGTTTAACCATTCTCAGACAAGGTATTCTGTTTTTACTTGCCTCTCTTCAGCCTGTGCTTATAATGTCAAACATAATGAATGACACATAGTTTGAAGACAAATTGGTATTTCTGGACCACTTACTAGAGAAGTTCAAAATTGGTACTATAGGTTTTACACTTATTCCAGTCCTGTCTCATATTGAGATGTAAATATTCAGCTCCAATTGGTTAAAATAATATTGAATTATAATTTAGTGAACATTTGAATGTTTCCTCCATCCTGCTCACTGAAGACATACAAAAATGAGAAAGGCATAGCTTTGGTGCTGTTTTATTTATCATTACTGTATTTTTATACGTCACATGGTATCTAATAAATAGTAGGTGCACAATAAATACTTGTTGATTGAATATCCTTGAGAAACTTACTGATGGTAGAGTTGACATGTAAAATGATTTTTAAAAATTAAAATACAAAAAAACCTATAATAGAAGTAATTTAGAGAAATCTGTGATCACCAAGAGTAAGAAAGTTTCACAACCTCTGTTAGTATTTGCCTTCTCTTCACATTAATTTTCATAATTTTAGGAAGGAATATCATTATCCAGACATTCTTAGGAAAAATGAAGTATGCTCTGATTTAAATAGTTTTCTTTTTCTCTTTTTATCTAGATTCTCAGATGTTGGTTGTTTCTATCAAATCAGGCAGGAATTTAAATGCATTGTTTTGAACACTCTAAACCTGCTTCTGTTCTGTTTGACTGGCATGCACTATTTTCTGTATTTCATTCTCTCACCTAATCTTTTCCTTTCTAATCTGCTTACTAAAAATGAAGACTTAACATCAGAAGCCGGGCTCAGTAACTGATCAAAGGGAACTTTAAGATGCAGTCTTGTGGCGCAGTTGGGGCTGTTAACCTGCTGTCTGAAGGTGATGCTTCAAGTGGCTTTTCTGTGCATGTTGCATGGTTTTGTGAATAGTGGAAATTGTCCTGATAACTGTGCTGTGGTGTGTAATGTAAAGTGAATTTGTTCTTGATGGTTGCTGTCTGCCAAAAAAGATGAACTTGGCAAAAAGGATCTTAATTTATAATACCACCCTTTGACTAATGACTTTGATAACTAAGATTTTGCTAAATAACATTTAGTATTATAAAAATTAAAACAACACCTGAAGTTTCCAAAGAAGTTTTAAATCATTTGATATTTGTAGACAGTTGCTGCATCCTCGTTCTGATCAAATGTAAGTGAATTTAAGCTAAATCCATCTCTCTCCGTGGGACTCTGATTTCAGCATCCTATCTTTTATTAAGTTTCCCTACTCCTTTCAGGTTCCAGAATCAAGATTTTCTCTATTAAAGTGTTGCTTGTAGTGATTTAGATTCCCCACAATTTAAGTCACTACCAAACTGAGGAATTAATTGCCCAATCCAGCCATCTTACATGCCATTTGGAACAAGGTGGGATACAAATTTAAAATGTTTCTGTATTTAGTATCTTCTTTTTTAAAATAAGGGTTTCCCCTCCTCTTTATATATATTACAATCTGTTCCATAATTCCTAATATGTCATGTGTTAGCTTTCTATTTTTTTTTAAGATTTTGTTTATTTTTTTTAGAGAGAGGGAAAGGAAGGGAGAGAAACATTGATGTGAGAGACAAACATTGATTGGTTGCCTTTTGTATGCATCCCAATGAAGGACTACATCTGCACCCAGGCATGTGCCTGGACCGGAAATTGAACCAGCAACTGTTCGCTTTGCAGGATGATGCCCAAAAAACTGAGCCACACTGGTTAGGGCAGTCATATGTTAGCTTTCTGTGGTTTCATGTTCAATTAATGTGGAGCTACCTAATCTTACTTTCTTAAACAAAAGTTAACCCTCTAGTAAGACTACTGTTTACTATAATGTTTGACTCCTTCATTTTGGATCTTTAAGGGAACTGTGAAGAGTATGGTTAATTGTTAGAAAATTAAGTATTTGATTTCTACTTTTTTCTTGGTCTCCTTTTTCTTAGTCTCTTCTTTTTCCTGTAACCTGATCATCCAACGCACACACACACACACACACGCACGCACGCGCGCTCTTTACAACTGGTATTTATTTGATTTGTCTCTCCTTGATATGAAGAATTTTGGCTAATATTTGGCTTTGTTTTTGCTATTCAGTTGGTACTAATGTTGACAACCAGAACTGGAAAGAGAAACTATTCAAGTGATTATGTTCTTGATACTTGTTTTCTGCTTTTATAGCAGCTTGTTCAATTAAGAGAGATTTTAAATTTTTATTTCAAACCTGCCACTTTTAAATGAGCTTTATATGAGGGGAAAAGTGGTTAAAAGTTATTAGACTTAAAACTGATAGAGGTAAATCCAACTTCCAGACAGAGTTCTTAATTGCATTAAAATCTATCACAAATTTATGTTAGCATCTTACCTTGAAGCCTAATTTCTTTGTAGAGGGGCTATGAATTTTATTCTGCAGGAGAGTTCTGTTGCAGATCAGAACCATTCTTTTCTACTGTAGACCAAAACGACCTGGGCCTAGATGTCTTTTTATGCGAATGTATTCCAACTATATTCAGCTACCTGTAGATCTCAAAGCCAGGGAATGTTAATGGGCCAGAAGAGTAAACATACCAACTGGTAATCTGTGCACTTAAAGGCATGAACTGTTAACTAAAGATCAGGTTGAGGTTGAAACCAAAGAATGAAAGTATTCGTCTAATGTTTTACAAACTAATTTTGCATCCATTATTAATAGAACTTTTCACAGCCCTGTGAGCTATTAAGTATTGTGATTATCTTAGTTTTTCTAGATTGATTTTTAGAGAGAGAGGAAGGAGAGGAAAAAACATCAATTTATTGTTCCACATTTTTCTGCATTCAAGAGTTGATTTTTGTATGTACCCTGACCCAGGATATAACCCACAACCTTGGTGTATCAGGACAATGCTCTAACCAACTGAGCTTCCCGTCCAGGGCTTGTTATTATGTTAGCTTTATATAAAACTAAGAGATGAAAATTTGCTGAAGGTTTTGTAGCTACTGAATGACAGGTCTAGAATTAGGATTCAGGTCAATTTACTATAAATCTTGTAGCTTTTCAGAAAGAATCCTGGTGTGTACCTTTGTTTCCTCCAGATCAATTCCTCAGTGTCTCAGTATATAGAAATACAAAGACTATTAGAGTCATCTAAAATATTTCATCTCAAACAGATTGGAAGTCCCTTAGAGTGGTGTTTGTCTTCTCTGCCCAGGTAGCTAAATGACCTAAAACAGTAACAGCAAAAGGTTCCCAGACTCCACTTCATACATATTGAAGCAGAATCTTCAGAGTGTAACCTGTGCACCTGTGTGTTCAAAGCATCCAGGTCACTCTGGTGCTCAGTCAAATTTGGGAAATACTACCCTTAAAGCATTTAAGAGCCTTTATAGGAAGACAAATTAAATTAAAACCATTATTATTTGTACTAGACAGGCAGCTATTTGACAATATAAGCCCTTAAAAACAGATAACTTTCAAGGATGTTCTAACTTGGTGGGAGAAGCTCCAGGGTAATGGCAAATAGCATGATCTTGAGCCAGAAGGCTTTACCCAGAATGGAGGGGCTGAAAGAGAAACGGAGCTATCACAAGAATGAAGATATGAAATTAACATCATTTAAAAATCACTTCTTCATAAACATGCAAATGTCTTGTCGTAATTGCATGAAAAAAGTGGTTTTTCCCCCCAACCCATTTGAAAATAAACATGACAATCCAATGCAAACCTATATAAAAAAACAAAACTCATAGTTAGTTTTCTATATCATTTCCCCTTGATATTGGAAGAACATCTGAAGGGATCTAGTCCTCTTAAAGGGAGGATTTAGTAACCAGTCTGATTGTTCATAATCTGTGGCTTAATTGAACCTCATTCATAATATCATGTTAAAACAGTATGTTTACATCTCATGCACCTTATATCTAATTGTCAAGAGTTCTCAAAAGTTTAAGGAATTTCAAGTATCATCTCTTAAGATTGAGGAAATTGGAGCATGTATATATTCCTTAATAGACCAAGAGCCTGCAAGTCCTGTCCCAATCTACTCTTTGTGTTAAGACTCTCAGAAACATAGTGTCTTAATATTTAGTGACTCTTGAATTCCAGTCTTTGACCTGCTCTACAGTCCAACGTACTTAGATAAAAGCCCCACTTACATTACTTCTATTAATACACCTGGTTATTTGCTTTCTGATAAACTAATATGTTTATTTTGTTCACTAGCTGTTGCTCTGCTTTAGAATTTTGCCTGAGACCCATGTAAATTGTTTACACCAAACTAACAGATAATTATATATAAATATTTATTTTAAAAATGTATATCCCACCTTGTTCCAGGAAAGATTTAACATGGCTTATAAGTAAATTAATAAAACAGTATAAATTAGAAATTCATTGTGAGAACCTTAAAGTGGAACCAGGAAAGGCACTTTGAAGATTCTTCAGTGCTCATAGATTGGTTTACCTTTTCATTTGACTCTTACCAAAAAAGTAGTAGTACCCTTTCTCTAGCATTAATGATTAAGGCCTAAGATCTAATCTGTTTGCCAAAAATGAATCCTCACATGTTTGTTAAAGAAAGAGCCATTGTTTTTATAAAATCTTTTCTCTGTTCTTGTACCCATAGTTTTAGAACTTCTTCATTAATGTATCATGTGGAATACATCAGAAGCCAATATTATGGCCATATACTACTTTGTTATTGTATATATAAAAAACAGAACTGAGTGAAACTGTGCCTATTTAGATAATCAGTAAAAAGTTTTGCATTTTTTTTTTATAATAGCTATTTAAAAGTCCTTAAGTGTGCTTTTTTTGGGCTATTTATATGTTTGAGTTGTAAGTCCCATGGTAATATTTTGGCTTTGGCTGATTTTTGGCTATATCAGGTACATCTAAAGCATATACTTTTTATTTTTAAGAGGCCTGGATTTAGCATTTATTTATTTTTTAAGGAAAAGTAAACTCATAAATGAAAAAGCCCTAAACCAAAGGATTTATAACTGGCACCATTTTGGCCAAGATCATTAGTAATTCATTGGTTCTGTTTGGAAATAATTCATGCCTTTCCTTATAATGTTTATTTATTAAGAAATCCTTTTTATAGTTTTAATGTGAAATTCTAACTTAAAAAAACTGATCAGCTGGAACTATTCTGGTTCAAGTAAGTGGGCAGCTGGGACCTAAATATTGCCAACTCAGCCTTCTTACTTTTCCATCCCTCATCAATCTCTGAGATGCCACCAAGGAACTTCTTAAGGCATCCCAGAACTTTTTTTTTTTTTAATGGAATTTAAATTCTCAAGGAATTTTTTTTCCTAGTATCCATTTAACCTCTTTTTCTGGAGAGTGTCAGAGGCTAAGGGAACCTGAAAAAATCAAATAAATGTATTTTGCTATTTGCTACCTGCTTAATGAAGATTTGGTGGAAGTATTTGAACCTTAAAAAAAAAATTTAGTGTCAGTGGGCATTAAAATTCATCTTTTTCCTGTGCCATATTGTGATGGATCAGAGTATAATCAATTATATCTGTAATCTAGATATAATTGTATGTATGTAGTTATTACGGTAAGGGTGCAAGGATCATCCTCAAGGTAACAAGGCACTAATAATTACATCTCTCCTCCTGCTTTTCGGTGTCTGTCTGCACTCCTGACTCTTATGTAGGACAAAGAACTTTGAGTCTGGTAAGGCCTATAAGGCAACATGGGGAGATGGTGGAGACAACTCTTCTAGCAATGTCATATCTAAACAGCCAGGCCGAGTGACAAATGGTCAGCCTCAGCAAGCAACCACAGGAGCAGCAGGTGGTGGATACATTAAACGGTATGCTAGTTCCTCCCAATATTTTTACCCTTTTCCTAAATGAATGGCTCACTGAGCAGGATGGGTATAGTTATACATGAATTCTAACTCATCAGTTAGAAATAGTGTTTATTCCATTTTAAAAATGCATTTAAAAATCTGCCTTCTGACAAAATGTTGACTGTGGTTATTGGCCTTCAATGATGGAGTTTTCTTTATATTTTTCAGTACTTTTCCAAGTTACTGAGTAAGCTGTAAATAGGAAAATGCGTTTTAAAATGTATGTTCTAGAGCATGGGTTGACCAAATCTCTATAAAAATAGCTATAGAAGGTCAGATAATAAATATTTTATACTTTACAGTCTGCTGCAGCTACCCAAATTTGTTATTGTAGGGAGGTTTGCTAAAACACAGAGTACTGGATCTGCTTCCATTGTGTCAGTAGATCTGGAATGGTGTGTGAGAATTAGCATGTTTTGTGTCTAACAAATTCTTAGCTGGTGCTGGGAATCACATTTTGCGAACTACTGTCCTAAAGTTGTTTCTTAATCGTCTCTTATGTGGCTTTAAGACATTGTGCTCTTTGATTAGTCTTTGAATTTTTACTACAGGATGTTTCTAATAGTGGTAACCTACATCCCTTGGGTTTAACACTTGCTGAGAGTCATTTTAGTGGATTATTTTCATGGAAACTAAATTCAGACTTAGTCCATTTAGAATTCACCAAAAAATATAAACTATCTTTTGTGATAGTATAACAAATGATGCCAGAGAAGAGGAAATGGAAGAGAACCTGACTCAAGTGGGCAGTATCCTAGGAAATCTAAAAAACATGGCCCTGGACATGGGTAATGAAATTGAGGCTCAAAATCAACAAATAAATCGGATCACAGAAAAGGTAAAAGCTTCTTAGTGCTATAGGAAAATGACACATCTAGTACAGTGTTTTTGTAATGCATGTCTATGCTAGATAACGTTGGGGGAGAATGATAGGATAAGATCCTGTCCTCACCAGTGTTAGAGTTTTGATGAGGCAGCCAGTTTTAAAACATTGGAAAACAATAGCTAAGTTATTCGTTTGCTCATAGCAGTTGGTTCATTTTGAAAACAAGACCTTGGAGTGAATTGGTTTTATTTAAAATTTAACACATGAATCTTAATATCTTAACATTTGTGTAGGCTGCCCCTTTACCCACCCTCCCCCACCAAATGAGCGAGTTAGCTTTTGGAGTGTTATTTTGTTAAATAAAAAATTCGTAAGTCAGTAGGGTAAAAATCAGTTCTACAGAATGGTTCCTGTGAAATGGACACACAAAATGAGAGTCCTGTGAATAATGAAAAGGGTGATTGCTATTTTTTTCACTTTGTATAATCTAAAAGACACAAAGTGAAGTTGTGTTCAGTGTTTGGATGTCACATCTAAATGCCATAGTTATTCATTGTTACCTCATTAAAGTCTCAGTGTACTTTGAAGGATCGAGGTGTTTTTATGCTCAGCTCTCTGTGGAATCACTTAACATGGATTCCATTGAGGCAAATGATGCTTTCAATACTATTGTGTTGACTTAGATTACACATTACCCATCATTTTAATTCAGATACTGATGTGGATGTGGTAACAGGACTGTTCCAAAGATCTAGGGGAAGGTGATTTCAGTCTGTGTTAAACCCACGATAGCTCCAGATGGGATTCTATGATTCAGTTCAGGAGACTCTTACAAGGTCGAGAGCTGTAGCAGAAAAGAGCATTTTTATATTTCGTTGCATCTAAAATGTCATTGATGATAAGCTGTATCCCATTTTCAGACATGTTAAGCCATGAAAAAAATGTAGAATTCATGAAATATTGGCAAGTTCTCTTATACCTTTGTCATATTTTACACCCAGGTTTTTCCAAATGAATTTGATATTCTGTCAGCTCGTGTCTGAAAAAAATTCTGTAATGTGACTTTGACTAATTGCTAAATTTTCTGTGTATCAATTACTCCAAGAATATGAAATTAAACTTTTATTAGGTCAACTTACCTTGTGAAGTAATGCCGATGTCTTTTTCTTTTTTTCAGGCTGACACCAACAAAGATCGTATCGATGTTGCCAATGCCAGAGCAAAGAAACTCATTAACAGCTAAAGTACTGCTGTACTTCTTTACCATTTATTCACTTGCCTAGTTCTTCCTTCAAAGTCATTGCCTTTTCAGAGTTTGAAATTTTGGTTCTGCACTCTTCTAATCAGGAGATAATGTGGAAGGGCAAGGAGTAACCGCCCGTTTTTTATTTTCTCTTTTTCCCTTAAGGGGAGACAGCTGCTCCACCTTCCTTCCACTTACTTGCTTGCTTGGTTTATATTCTTAGATTGATTTTTATACATTACATATAGCTTTGTTTTTCACCCTCCACATTTACTGTAGCAGGTTCTTCTGCTTTCAAGATTTGGAAGCATTGCCAAAGACAGTCATGAAAAAGGAAGCTAGAGGTCGGGGAGTACAAGAGGAGAAGCAAGAGATAAGAGGTTGTTACCTCAGTAAAACCTTCAGGCCACAAAGCAAAAAGTTGCATAGCCACAGTAAAGATCTAGTTCAGTTTAGATTTTAAGTTGCAGGTATTGCCAATTTAGGCTAAAACTTGATTTTGGAGGTTTTATATACAATATTTTTGTTATACATCACAACTTTGCAACCTCTGTTTCAAAAAAGAACAGAATGAGTTTTCTGAAAGTGAGCTTAATTCCTGAACTCTTGGTGATTTTTATACACACACACAGATTCTGTGATCACATTTCATATTGTACCATACAGGAGCACTTTGTACAAATGAATGGCTTTTTATTTTCATATTATTAGTATCATGTTTGCAATATAAGCCTATTAACCTCATAAATTTGTCATTAGTCTTTGAAGAAAAATATGTAAATATGTATGTGTAACAGGAGAATTTCTCTCTAAAGCAGGGCTTAAAATTTTTTGGGAAAATTTGACAAAATACGTCACATGATTTCAGATTTACCTCAATGCCAAGAATTATGTTTAGATAGGAAAAAATAAACTTGTTTTCATCTCAGGTAGAAAAAATGTTATATTGCTTTGAGTTTAATGTAGATTTGGGCTTTTAAAAAGCTAGAATTCTGTTTAACTAAAAATGATTTGGAAAGTTATGCCTTCAGTTTGATTATTTATGATTGTACTCTCAATATCTTAGCCTTGTATATTGAACCATGTTCAGAATCATGCTTACGTAGACCCTTAACAGTGTTGTAAGAATATGATTGCTATTTGTCACATTTATTTAGAAGCTAGTACCAGCACACTTAAAAGCTAATAAGGTGGATTTGTTTAATGAATAACACTCTTGAGTGCCCCCTACTGGGAACCTGGCCCACAACACAGGCATGTGCCCTGACTGGGAACTGAACAGGCGACCCTTTGATTCACAGGTTGGCACTCAATCCACTGAGCCACACAATCCAGGACAAGAGGAAAATATTTCAAGTGAGATTCATTTAGGCTCTCTGTAATAGAAATGCTCTATGCCAAAGAGAGTAGCTTGGCAGGTGATGGTACATGTGTAAAGCAAAAAGGTATAAAACACTGGGAATTATCCTGTACCTAAATGCCCTTTCTTAAAGAATTTAAAAGAAAATCTTTAACACCGTTAAGCCTGAGAGAAAGGGTTCTGAGGGTACCAATATGCTACCCTCGAGAATAATTGGTTAGAAGTATGAGCTTAGGTATCAAATTGGATTTACACTGTAGTTCTGCCATTTGCTGGCTAAGTGACTGTAAGCCCATTTCTGTGCCTCAGTCACCTAGTCTGTAAATGGGAATCAATAATTCCTACACCATAGAGTTGTTGCAAAGACTTAGCATGATAATGTATGGAAAGCACTTAGAGCACTGTCCAGCCAATGTAACAGCTTAAATGATAGCCTGTCAACACAGCCTGTCTCTGCAGAGAAATAGACATACAAACATGACTCATACATAAATGGGTCTTGAAAGCCAATTCATGAATCTTAGGTTACAAACTTTTTCAAAGGTTGTGCTACTTAGAGAGAGGATAAGGCAATAGAAATTAGCCTCATAATACACTAGAAATAGAAGCTGCTAACTTAAAGCCTTTCCTGATTTTTCTCCCGTAACGTTTTTGGAAACTTGTTTGCATTACTTCTGAAAGGTAGTAACTGAAGTGGTTAAAAGCTTTGCAGTCTGACCACCTGAGTTAGATTTCTGGTTCAGTCATTTACTAATTGTGTGACCTTGAGCATAATACTAACCTATACTTAAAAGAGTTAACAGTATCCCCAACTGAACTTTATTTTTAACAGTAAGCGCCCTTTTCAAATTTCCAGTCTCCTATAGTTATGCCTTTTTCTTCATTTTTAATTCACCGTTTATTACCACTTCAACTCTAGGTATTTTCATGTCATGTATGGATTGTCAGTATCCCTTTAACTTAAATTTCTACTCCCCAGACATCCTATACCCAATTGTACTTAGAGTTTTGTTTCTTTAAATGCTATTTTCTTTAGGTCACTCTCTTGCTAAAATTTTAAGTTATCCCAATTACATTCGTAGTCAGATTTGTATTTCTCAGGTTGATATGCAAGTTCCTTATTCTCTAGCCATTTGTTTCTTATCCTTTTTAACTTGGTGTCAGATCAAAGCCTTCCATTTCTGCAGTAGGGGTGTCCAACCTTTTGGTGTCTCTGGGCCACACTGGAAGAAGAAGAGTTGTCTTGGGTCACACGTTAAATACACTGCAACAAGTAATCACACACACAAAAAAATCTCATAATGTTTTAAGTAAATTTACGATTTTGTGTTGGGCTGCATTCATAGCCATCCTGGGCTGCATGCAGGCCGCGGGTTGGACACCCCTGCAAGCTTGCTAAATTCTATTTTAATACCTTACAGATGAAATAAATGGCACCATTTATTGAGTGCTTACTCTGTCATGGGCACTGTGCTAAATGCCTTTTTATGTATCTTTTCACCAATCCTCCTAATATACCCGAGAGGTAGGAGGTATTGTCCATATCACAGATGAGAATAAATTGCTTTAACTCATAAAGCCAGTAAATGACAGACTCTGATTTCAAACCAGGATCTTTCTGACACCAAGGCCTATGATCTTACTCAGTATTCTACGCTGACTTCAACCAGGTTCTGAAAGAATGTAAGTGACTTAGGCTGGCTGGTGGCCACCAGAATGTGGGTTTCTAGACCACAAGTCAACCTACTTTGTTAGCTCATATTTAAGTCTAAATATTTGTGTACTATAACTTTGGGCACATTACTTTAGATAGTTCCTGCCCTCAAGTAGTTCAGTTTAACAAAAGACAGATGGATACAGAATGTGAGAAGTGCTATTGTAACAGATGGAGGAGCAGTTAATTTGCTTAGACTTAGAAAGAAGCGTAGACATAGGGAGGGAGCATGTTAGTAAGGGAGGGCATTTTTAACTGAGCAAACAATGTAAAGGCAGTTAAAGGAGAGACATTTCACTATAGGTTTAAAGAGCAGAATAATCTGGTATGACTAGGCAGGCAAATAAAGAGTGTAGAAAGGGTATCTGGAAATAAGGCCGGGTCCAAGTTGTGAAAGGTTGTAGTAACTGATTGTCATAGGGGTGGGGATTTTTAAAACTCTAATTAGTAATTAAGTGGCTGGGAACAATTAAGTTTAATTTATAAGTTCTGATTTATTAGATAAGTACTTACAAAATATTTAGAGAAATGTTAACTTCAATCAGTAGATCAGTAAGGTTAAACATAAGTTTATTTTTTAAAAATCTCAGTAATGATAAACTGGTACCCCTCTTCCTCCCCAAATTGAGAAACAGAAAATAACATGGGCAAAAAGAACACCAAGACCAGAATTAAAGTCAGAGAGACTTCCTCTTATAGATTAAAGACTAGGGTCTTATGATCTCTTGACTTAAAGGTCAAACTAGGTTTGTAAAACAAAAACTCAATGCATGGTAAATAATATCTCCTTGACTAAGACAAACTTCAGAAAATAGCAGAAGGCCAGCTTTCTAAATGTTCATATCAGTAACAATCTGAAACTATCTATTTTTTTACCTTTGTATTAAGTTTCTTTTAATCAGCATGGTTCCACCACCACAAAATGTTTATCAGTCACATGAATGCATTGCAGTACTCATGCAACCTGAACATGAAATATTTCTTCCTAATCAGTTTACTTTCAAAGAAAGGGCCAATTGCAGGTTAAAATTTTTCCATCATCTTTTAAAGGATGAACCTTTCTTCCAGCCATGAAGTTCATTAAAAATTCTTTATTTAGTATATTCTCTCATTCAGAGAATAAACTTGATAAACATAGGTTGTTTTAAAATATTGCAGTAGTTTTTTGATAATTTGATTAGTAGACTTATAAATACAAAAAAGGTGAAAAGGATTACCAGAAATAAGACATTATTTCTAATGGCTTCATGAAAATCTTGATTATTAAAATCCCCTTTATCTTACAAATTTTGCATATATGGTTTTAGTTCTCCAAGCCCTCTACCAATAAGGCACCTGCAATAGTAAAAGAATTTGCTACTGCAGCCTTGGGGTTCATCTCTTAGTGTTGCATTGGTGCTTCTACACTTCTACTCAAGACAGTCACATATTTATATACATCCTAAGTTCCAAGTATAAATACTATAATTGAACTGATGGACTGGAATAAAACACAAATCCTTAGATTAACCATAGTGGCCTCTCACAAGGTAGTTGAATTTCATAAAAATGTGAAATGTCAACAGAGGTGGGATGGCAGTTGACTTTATGAAAGCTCATACATTGAAATTAAACATGAAATTTCAAGCTGTGGTATGGAGCTCTTACCAGGTGGCATCCCTTCCTCACTGTATAAATAGCTACTAGCTACTGGTTTCTTAAAGCCAAACTAATGATTTTGAAGATCAACATTGTCCACTGCCCTATCCATAACTCAAAAGGGAAAACTTCCTGTCTGTTGATTCCTTTTAGCTTATTTAAGATAAAGTATCAGCTCCTTACTGCAGATGGCCTTGACAAGAGCCTTTGATAGAGCCAGTTGCAACAGGTTGCAGATGTCCTACAAGGATTCCCATGCTCATGGAGAACATCATGCAAACTTCTTCTTGGTAGCCGTGAACCTCTCCATGTACTAAAAATCATGAAAGAAAAATATATGTGGTACTTTGGCATGAGCAAGTATTAGCCTACTTATTACTTAGGTTTTCACTTGATTTTTTTTTTCATTTAGGTTTTTATTGGATATGGCTCCTCATTTCCTACAAAACCTACCTATTCTAAATGCAAATCTAAAGCACATAGTTTTGGAGTCATTTAAATTTTTCTTTGATATTTCAATAGGAAACATCAAAAGACAAAGATGTTTTACAATACACTATCTAGAGAAAAAGTCATCTTGGTACAATACAAGAATATATACCAGTACATCTTGGTACAAGCATTTGGCTGATTGTTAGAACCCACCCCCAAAATGGGGAACAAATCCTGTTGACAAATAGGATTATACATGCAGCCTGTGGCTATAAACATTTATGTGGGTTACTTCACCATTCTCTTTAGAACAGTGACAAGAAATGCAGAAGTACATGAATACATACCTTATCATAGCCTTCTAGTTCTCGTAGTTTCTTTATTTCAAAAAGGTTGCCCTCCACAGCAAGCAGACAGATCTGGGAATCACTGAGGATGCTCTGTGGAAGCATGCTGAGCTCAAGACAGTTCTCTTCCAGGCGAAGAACTTTAAGACGAGGACAGCAAGATATCTTTACTGAGATCTGCGATATCTATTGAACAACAAAAAAGAATAACAGGAAAAAGCATAAGCACCATAATGGTTATTTATTATTAAATTAAAACAAAAAAACTCTTTACTTGACTATTTGTCCTAGTTCTCCTTTTACCGCCTCCATTTTCTCACTACCTACTCATCTCAGAAACCTGTCATCTAGCTTCTGTTACTACTCCTCCACATTTTGGGGGGGGAAAATATGTTTGGAAGGTCACCAGTGTCTTTTTGGAAATAACATTTTCTGACTATAAAAGCAATATTTGTTATAGGAAATTTGAGAATCACATTTTAAAGTTTAGAAAAGTTACCTGTAATCTACCACCATAGAAACTTTGGTACATTCACTGCCAATCTTTTATGTTTATATAAGTGTTTGATTTTTCTATCTATCCCTCCATTGAAACTCCTTATTGTATCTAAGTAGTGGGTTTTTCTTCCTAACTCGAATTATTCCTGATTTTTGACTTCCCTTGTTTCTATGGTCATTTTTCTGAACTTTTCCCTAGAAAGCTCATCTATTCTTAAAACCATCATTTCTGTTAAGACCTCAAAATCTGTATCTACATTCAAACATCTTACCTCTATTCCACTCTTATGTCTCCAATTTTTAGTACACTTCCTTTTGCACCACCATAATCAACTCAACATGTCTATTCTCAACAGCACCACTCTTTTGTTAGGCCCTCAAGTTCAATACCAAGCAATATATAACTTGTTCACCTATTTGCCCATTAAATGCTGCAAGTCACCAAATTACGTTTACTCTGCCTGGTATCACCTGGAAACTTTAGAAATGCAAGCTCTCAAACCTCACCCCAGACTTACTGAATCAGAAACAGTGGGCCCAGTCATCTCTTTTAACCAGTTCTCCTGGTTACTCTGATGCACACTGAAATGTGAGAATCATTAACAAAGACATTGGCATAGGTGAATGTGGGGCGAGTGCTCAACCAATACTTGTTGCTTAATTTTTTTTCAAGTTTTCCCCCCCAAATATTCACATATTTTTTCCAAAAAAGCTCAAAATATACAAGAATATTCGCAAGTAAAAGATGAGGCTAATACCTTCAAAGACAGACTGAATTTCATAAATTTAAGGAGACCACAATCTATTTGTCCCAATGAAACTTTGCAATGATTGGAATGTTCTCTATCTGTGCTGTCCAATACAGTAACCATTTGTTACATATGGTTTTTGGGCACTTAAAATAGGGCTTGTGGCAACTGAGGAACTAATTTTTTTTTTTTTTTTTTTTTAGATTTTATTTTTCGGAGAGAGGGGAAGGGAGGGAGAAAGGGAGAGAAACATCAATCGGTTGTCTCCCGTCTCTCAAATGCCCCCAACTGGTGACCTGGCCTACGACCCAAGCATGTGCCTTGATGGGAAACTGAACCAGTGACCTTTTTGTTCCCAGGTCTGCACTCAACCCACACCAGCCAGGGCTGAATTTTTAAATGAATTTTAATAGCCACATGTGGCTAGTGGCTACTGTATTGGACTGTAGATTAAGAAGCATAGACACTATAAAAACTAAAGGCCACCTAGTCTCAGTATGTTTAATGTCTCATCATCTGTGCCTTATGTTTAAATCAAAGATTGTTTCTCCAGTCAGATACAAAATAACCAAAGAACTTCCAAAGTCATGGAAACAAATTTCAAATCTTACAATTGAAGCTGTCCAACAATGAAAGGAGCTATCTCCAGAAAGCCTATCTCTGGTGGTTTCCAGCAAAAACAGACACATTTGAAAAAGGTGTCAAGAAAAAGGCAACTGATTACCTCTAATGACCAACTCTGAGAACCTATGAGTGTTAAAGCCTCTTTTCCACTCTACCTTCCACTCCAGGTAGATGACTTGCTAGATGACTAAAGGCACGTTTGAGGAGTATCTGAAGATTTGTGAGAGTAACTTTTGAAATTATCACCTGCTACCCATCCCACCCTCCAAAAATCACCTACACAACAAGCGCAACCAGTGTCTTGACTACTTCCACAGGACTCTGGGACTGGAAATTAGTCCAGCCCATAGAATATACCTCTCATCTAGCTTCTGATGCCCAGCTCTATGATTATCGTTTAGAGAGAAACCGGTTTTTATATAAACACACACACACACACACACACACGAGAAGAAAAACTCGTAAGCTCTAGACCTGATTCTGGTTGAGATTAAGTTCGATGACCTGCAGCTCTCCCACTATGTCAGGTATGCTCCGAATCTGGTTCTTGGAGAGATCCACCACATCCAGGTGCCGTAGGCTACAAAGTTGGGGTGGTAATGCTCGTAGCTGGTTCCCAGAGAGGCTCAGAGTCTTGAGGGCAGACAGTTGCCCAAAGGTAGAGGGCAGTTCTCTCAAGTGATTGTTGTTTAAGCTTAGTGTCTCTAGTTTTTTCAGATTGTGTAACTCATCAGGAAGAACAGCTGGCAAAGACAAAAAAAACAAACATATAAACCTGAATCTGATACAGCTGAAAAATAACTTAGATGAAGTTTATAAAAACTATATGGCAGCCTACTATGCCTCCTGTTAACATACACAGAATTCCCACGTGTTCTGCCATTTTTACGTATTGCATTTTTATCAACAGTCTTCAGAAGGTGAAAGGGCCATCAAAATGCAGAAAAGCATTTATTTGTATAGGAGCCTCCTCACAATCTGACAGCAATTTTATAGGATTTGCAAGGACCTTTCCTTCCATTCCCCTCCTCCGAATTATCCCATTATCAATCATTATACCACCAGAGGAGGCTTATAGATGTAATTACAAGAGAGAAAATTTCAAGAACTCTGATATTCTCCTGCGTCTTGAGCAATCTGAATGGTTTCATAACAACAAAAATCAGCTTGTAAGAGAACACCACCCTTAACAGCTGATCAGTAGCAAAGCTTCCCAGACGCAAAAGCCATACTCAGTTTGTTGTTGTTCAAGGAGAGGCTCTTCAGCAGAGTGAACTTCCCTATAATCATTGGCGGTAGGCTCTCTATCTTGTTGTTGGATAAGTCGATGGTCCTGAGATTGCTCGTCAGCTTCTGCAACTCTGAAGGGAACTGGAGAAAGGGGTTCACAGCGCAGAGAATCCCTCACCGATTAACTTCACACTCCCGCCATCCCTCTCCCATTAAATTCCCTGGTCAGGTTTCTCCCCGTCTCACCTCAGTCAGCCCGCGGTCCTTAAGCTGAAAGACACCCGTTTTCTGCGCGGTTTCCACATGAGCGCGGAGGGCACTGTTTCCCATCCTAGCGCCGCGGCTCGGGTCCCTGCGGAAAAGTAAGTGCAGCTGTCAATGCTCGGTCCAAGCACGCAGCCACCCCGATGGCCTCCCGGCTGGGTATCCAGCCCCAGCCGTCACCTCCCGCAGATCTCTGGGTCTCGTAGGACAGCCCAAGAGTGGCGAGAAAGAAAGGGAAGAACAGACAACCCGACCACCAAGCCCTGCCTCTTTAGCGGCTGTTCCGATGCTAGACTCCGCTAGGAGCCTAAGGAGGATCGGGGGACCCGGGACTCGCCCCCTGCCCCTCAGTTCAGCAGGCTCTTAAAAAGAAAACCCGGGAGGCGCGCTCGCCAGAGACGCGCTTCCCGGGCTTCCGCCTGAGAGGAAACGCCCCGTGACGTCATCGAACCGCGCGGAACTTTTGCTGGCGTTCCGCTTCTTTTTAACGCAACCCAAGGAGTTAGGTCTCAGCCATGGCTGCGGCGAACCCTTGGGACCCGGCGTCCGCGCCAAACGCTGCCGGGCTCCTGCTGGGCCATTTCGTAGCTTCGGGGATAGTCACTCAGGTACGTGGAAGGCGCTGGCGTCATTAAGGGGGTGCCCACGGTGGCCACAGGGCGACAGTGAAGTGTTGGTACTGACTGTGGGCTCTACTAGAGTGGAAGCCGATGGGGTCCGTTCCAGGCAACAGCATATACCTTTATGCAGTGGGTTCTGCGAAAGCGGGGTTCTGGGTCGATGGTGAGTGCGGTAGGCGGTGTTTGCAGGCAGGTTATCTCAGGTCAGTTCGTGGGAGAGAATAAAAACCGGTGTTTCCCGCCGTTCTGTTTTGTTTGTTTGGTTTTTTTTTTCAATCCTGTGGTAGATGCGGTCTCTAGAGTGTAATGGGTGACGCGTTGGGAAAACGGTCAGGTGATTAAAACAAAAGTTCCCAAACAACGCTCGTTTGTGTGAGGTATTGAAGCATACGAGGTGGGATAAAGTAAGTTTGTAGTGCGAATACGCGAAACACAGTTTATTCTTGTATTATTACTAATTAATTGTTATATTATTTTCGATACTAGCAATCGTAAAACCTATTCTTGCCCGACCCTTTATTTGGGGGCGGAGGCACTGGGTACGGAAGAACGATAGGGGAAGCGGTTGTCCTTAAAAGGCCCCGTCAAAGAAAGTATTGGCAAAGAAGACCCGAAACACGTTGTAACGTGAACGGAGGAAGGGATTAATTTTGAGGAGGGACACGGGAAATTAGCCCATGGGATGGTAGTTTTACGTTGGGCAAGAAGATCATGTTTTCGCCAAAGGGAAGAAACCAGTATTAGAGGGAGAAATTGAAGATGTGAGAGAATAATGGAATATAACTGGCAAAAGAGACAAGGAAATCAGAAAAGGGGAATTGAGGGAAATAAGAAATTTTGACATAATGAGAATGTTGAGGAATATGTCTAAGAAATGAAACAGAAAAATAGGTAAAATCATCTGCAAAGATTAACAGTATATATGTGATGGGAGATTTATGAAAAATATACAATTTTTTATAGTTAGAAGAGTCATTAGAGAACTCTACTACCATAACAGAATTGAAGAAACTAAGGCCTAAGGAGAACAAGAAATTTGACCAAGGTCACTTAACTAATGAAGTAGGATTAGATACCAGAGCTCTCCCCTTCCCGACATATAGTCCATTCCTTAAGTGCACAACATCATCCCATGTGCGTTAGAAATTAAGAGTGATGCTTACGACTGTGATATGATACAACTCTTCTAGAAAATGTAGCTTGTTTGTACTTTGTTCTGTTTTGATCTATCCACTGGAGAATGATTTAGTGAAAGAAAGGTAGGGTTAACTGTAGGACAGTATGAGGTATTTGCTTTCTTATATGCTTTAGTGGCCTTCCATTCTAGATACTTTTCAGTCAAGCTTTAGTGAGTTGTGGCATCTTGATCAAAGCTCCTTCTACTGGCAATGTAGAAGATAAAGATCTGGACCTACAAAACACCCAGAATCTATTATATAATAGGGCTAAGTCACAATCCTCAAATAGTTAGAATTTCTGTTTGCTAGAGAAATTTGGCTGCTCTTTCATTCCTCTCTCCTTTTTGGCTCTCCCTTTCTTGAACATTCTTATTTTCCCTCTGGTTTCTATCACAAGTTCTTGGTTAAGCTCCGAACCCTGTTGTTGAATCCAACAGTTCACTACATTGCAAATGTGCGATTAAGATTAGTGTATACATACGAAGAGACAGAAAGATATCAAAGTGAGTAGGTTACAGTGAGAAATGGGAGATGTTTTACTTTCACTTACCTTCTACATTAGAGAACAGAAAAAAGGTAAAGGAGATTATGATGGTGATGTAGATTAGATGGTAATGTGGTATTCTCATTTCAGCCCTGATATACATAGGCAGTATGAAGTTAGACTAACATTTAACCTTCCCAGTTTTCAATTTTGTGATCAGTAAAATATCTTGCATTATCTTGGTGAATGGCATAACTATCTGGTCAGTTACCTGAAGCAGGATCCTTAGAGTCAGTACGTATTAACCTGACTTTATCCCTCACTACCCTTATCAACTAGGACTTGTCAATTCTGTCTTCCGAGGGACTCATTTCTCTACCCTCTTTCCTTTTTAACTGCTACTGACCTATTCTACATTCTCATCCTCTCACCTGGAATACTATAGCAACCACTTGTCTAAATATCCAACGTTCGCTCCTTCCCTCCACTAAATTTTCCGGTTTGGTTTTTGTTTTATATTGTTGGCTAGTTACCAGAGGGTTTTTTTAATTGTAGTAAAATACACATAACATAAAACTTACCATTTTAACCATCTTAAAGCGTACAACCCAGTGGCATGAAGTCAGTCACAATGCTGTGAAACTGTTTTCAAAACTTTTTTACCATTCCCAGTGGAAATCCCATACTCATTAAGCAGTCACTCCTCCTTCCTTCATCCCCGAAATCCAATTAGTTTTATTTTTCATACCACCCCCACTTAAATTTCTATAATATGCGTTATATATGATCATGTTACTTCTTTACCAGAAGAATTTCGATTTCTATCATTTCTTCATTATGATTGCTTCTCATAGTTATCAAGATCTTTCATGATTATGCAGGAAGCTATGTTTCCAGATTAATCAACTCCTCATATATATGTTAGTATTAACACAGTTATCAAGCATTTATAATTATATTTTTTTCCTATCCAGAATACTTTTTCCTTTCCATCAATCATGAGCTTGTTAATGGCAGAGAGCTCTTTTATTCATTCTTGATTCATCCATTTTCAATGTCAATAAATGCCTATAAATTTGATTATTATTATTAGCAAACATTTGCTGTGAAGGGCCAGAGAGTAAGTATTTGAGGCTTTCAGTCCACATAGTTGTAAACAGACTGTTGTAAAGTGAAAGCAGCCAGAGATAATAAATAAAGGAGAGAAGTTGAGTTCCAATAAAACTTTATTTTAGTACTCTACAATTTGAAGTTTATAAAATTTTCATATGTTACAAAATAATTATTTTCCTTTTTTAAAAAGATTTTACTTACTTATTTATAGAGAGAGGGGTAGGGAAGGAGAAAGAGAGGGAGAGAAACATCCATGTAACAGAGATACACTGATAGGTTGCCTCTCATACATGCCCTGATTGGGGACCAAACCTGCAACTTACGCATGTGCCCTAACTGGAAATTGAACTGGCGACCTTTTGCTTTGGGCAGTGTCACCCAACCTTCTGAGCCAGTTAAAGCTGATTTTCATATATTTTAAATATTTGGGCAAATGATTCCCGATAGGGAAGGTTTTAAAAACAAGAAATACACATTGCTACTGTTGTATTCCGTATTTCATTTTTCAGGGGCAGTGATGGATGTAATTAATATATCCTTGTATTTTAGACCTGAGGTCACTGATCTTCCAATGCACATAGAAACTTTGTGACACTCTGCTGCTTTCTCTGTTTACTTTCCAATAGGAAATGTTAAATATATCTAAGAAATCAGCTCCTTGCTTTGTGAACTTCTCCACGCTGCAGCAGATCACAAATATGCAAGCTGAAATCAATCAGGTGATTATGTTGAACTTTCTACTTTCTATTTCTAGTATAGGAAAAAATGTTAATTGGTTTCAACAGCAGTTCTGTTGCATTTTGAACAGTGTCTAGCACGTATCTGGGAAGGTGTTTACTTGTAATAATGAAGTTGCACAATAATAGTATTATAGTAGTTGGTGGTAGTAGCAGTAGTGGCAACATAAAAAGCTTTAGTAAATCCCCTGGGCTCTCATAACAAATTACCCTCACATCCTCCTTAAATATTCCTGGGTTACAGCCTATCCATTTTTATCAGAGACTATCCTTTACATCAGGCTATTTTCTCAGTGAGCTAAATACTATTTGTGCTTCTAATACAGAAAAACCTAGAAATTGAACTTCTAAGACTAGAAAAAGACACAGCAGATATTGTTCATCCTTCCTTTTTGGGTAAGTGGTTTGGTTAAATGGGTGGGTAATCATTGGAATTTCACATTTTTCTTCAATTACCTTAAATAAGCACCAGGCATTATAATACACCATTATTTTTTCCAGGTATTGCCCTAAAGCCAACAAAGTCTTCTATTTATGTGTCCAAACAAAAATCCTGTTGGCTTGATTAGTGCAAATTGTATAAAAAGTGACCAAGGTAGGAGCTCCTCAAACTCAGGAGAGCTTGAAAGAAAAATAACAAAAGGCTGAACAACTTTTCAGAGTAAATACGAGTAAAGGGACATGACAGCTAAAGCACAATGTGGTCATAGATTGAATACTTGATTAGAAAAAATTCTTGCTATAAAGGATATTATTATGATCCTTGGTGATATTTGAACATGGACTATATTAAATATTGGTATTTAATATACCAATGTAAATGTTAAATTTTCTGAATTTGATACTTGTAGTTATATAAGAGAATGTTCCTATTCTTGGGAAATACATGTTGATGTTTTAGGAAAGAAAGATCATGATATCTGCAACTTACTCTCAAATGGGTCAGCAAAAATATATGTAAGGGTTTGAAGAGAGAGAGGAAAAAAGAGAAAATGTAGCCAAGTATTAGCAGTTAGTGAGTCTAGGCAAAATGTATGTGGGCGTTCAATGAACTATCCTTGAAACTTTTCTTTAAGTTTGAAGTTTTTTCAGCATCTAAATTTAAAAGAAGAGGCAGCTATTAACTGAATTCTGGGGAAAAGAAATGATTAGAAATAGCTTATAAGACAAATGTTTGTTTTTTAATGTTTGTGTAGAATATTAGAGGTAAAGATGGGAAAAGGGACTTTACAGCTCTGGCTACAAAAACAACTAGGAGTAGAGTTGTAAAACACAAAGAATTTAGCAGTGGGTTTGGTTGTCAGTAGGAAAAGTAAGAAAATAAAATGAAATTGCTACTGGGTATTTGGAATAGCAAAGGAGAGTTATTTAGGAGGGAAATGGTAGGATAATTTTTTACATTGGTAGTATCAAACCAAAGCAAAGAACTTATTAGTAATTTCAAAATGTGTCCTATTGCTAACTATAATTATTGTTTCTCATTTGTGTAGCTCAAAAGTGCCATACTCTGCAAAGCATGAATAATCATTTGGAAGCAGTGCTAAAAGAGAAGAGGTCCCTCAGGCAAAGACTGTTGAAACCCATGTGCCAGGAAAACCTGCCTATTGAAGCTGTTTATCACAGGTTAGACTAAAGTTACACCTGTTTTCTGAAGATAGTTTAAACTAGTAGTCATTTCATGGCATAGTTCATTATATAATATATTGTCTCTATTAACATTATTATTAATACTGATACACTAAACCAGAAAGGAAATCCTTTGCTATAGAAAAGGCATTTCTTTTGTCCATAATGTTTTGGGAATTATAAATAATGATTTTAATGAAAAAAATTAGCTACATAACAGAGTAAATTGGGTAAAAATCACTTTTATTAGTATAGACTGTTTCCTATGAAGTAAATGTATTGTTGCATTCATCTTGCCTATATAAGGTGGGGCAACACCTTGTGAGCATGTGAAACACAGAATTTATTCTTGTATTATTATTTATTAATTATTGTATTTTCCATAGGAACAACTGTATATAAAAATTTCTGTTTAAGCAGGTACGGATGAAAATAATGTCAGCCAAAGGAGGAAAAACACTGAGTTCTTGTCTCATCTCTATTGTTTATATGTCTCAAAGACTTGGGCAAATGATTTAAACTTTTGACTCAGTTTCCCAATCCATAGATGTGTTTTATTGCTCTTGTCCTTATACGAATATTCCAACTACCAAATTGAGGATCTTAGTTATTATTAATAATAAAATAAAGAAGCAGGCATCTGGGAATCTGATTGCTAACTTTCTCCACCAGTGCATCCCTGGCTGACCCTGAGCGAATCAGTATCTTCTCTTAAGTATCAGATTTTTTTATCATAGAGTAATATAATATACAATCCCATTCTTGAACACATATTCAGTATCCTGTACAATAAAATATCATTTATGTATAATATATATCAGAAGAACTGAGTAATGATTTTAGAGTATTTTGCAAATGCCAAGATTCAAAGTACTTTTATCTTTAGGCTATTTCAATAAAATACATTTATCCTTAAAGTTTTTACTCTTCACCAAGAATGAGTAGTTTCAAATGGAATGAGGTTTTACCTAAGGAAATGCCTTAACTTACATGAGAAAATTATTGCCTAACATTAGGTTGGATTCCAGATATAATAGTGGTCTCTCTGTCAGGTTTTTCTGTTTGACAAGTGAACTCCTGCTTTAAGTGAAAAAGGACTTTTTATTTTCTTTCTTTTATATATATATTTTATTGATTATGCTATTACAGTTGTCCCATTTTTTTCTCCCCTTTATTCCCCTCCACACCAACATTCCCCTCCCTTAGTTCATGTCCATGGGTTGTACATGTAAGTTCTTTGGCTTGTCCATTTCCTATACTTATTCTTAACCTCTCCCTGTCTATTTTGTACCTACTGTTTACGCTGTTTATTGCCTGTGCCTTTGCCCCCATTCTCCCCGCTCACCCACCCCCTCCCCTCTAATCTCTATTTCTATGACTCTGTTCCTGTTCTGCTTGTTTCCTTACTTTGTTTTCTTTTTCTTTTTTTTTTTAGGTTCAGTTGTTGATAGTTGTGAGTTTGTTGTCATTTTACTCTCATAGTTTCTGATCTTCTTTTTCTTAGATAAGTCCTTTTAACATTTCATATAATAAGGGCTTGGTGATGATGAACTCCTTTAACTTGACCTTATCTGGGAAGCACTTTATCTGCCCTTCCATTCTAAATGATAGCTTTGCTGGATGGAGTCATCTTGGATGTAGGTCCTTGGCTTTCATGACTTTGAATACTTCTTTCCAGCTCCTTGTTGCCTGCAAGCTTTCTTTTGAGAAATCAGCTGTTAGTCTTAGGGGAACTCCTTTGTAGGTAACTGTCTCCTTTTCTCTTGCTGCTTTTAAGATTCTCTCCTTATCTTTAGTCTTGGATAATGTAATTATGACGTGCCTTGGTATGCGCTTTCTTGGGTCCAACTACTTTGGGACTCTCTGAGCTTCCTGAATCTCCTGGAAGTCTATTTCCTTGGCCAGATTGGAGAAATTCTCCTTCATCATTTTTTCAAATAAGTTTTTAGTTCCTTGCTCTTCCTCTTCTCCTTCTGGTACCCCTATGATTTGGATGTTGGAAAATTTGAAGTTGTCCCAGAGGTTCCTAAGCCTCTCGTTATTTTTCTGAATTCTTGTTTCTTCATTCCGTTCTGGTTGCATGTTTATCTCTTCCTTCTGCTCCAAATCATTGATTTGAGTCTCGGTTCCCTTTTCTTTACTGTTGGTTCCCTGTATATTTTTCTTTATTTCACTTTGTGTAGCCTACACTTTTTCCTCCATTTTGTGACCATACTCAAACTATTTCTGTGAGCATCCTGATCACCAGTGTTTTGAACCGTGCATCTGATAGGTTGGCTCTCTGTCCATCGCTTAGTTCTATTTTTGGAGCTTTAATTAATTCTTTCATTTGGGCTATATTTCTTTGTCTCAGCGGGCCTCTTACATTGGAAGGGACAGAACCTTAAATACTTGCGAGAGCGGAGCAACCCAGGAGTTGTGACGCTATATGTGGGGGAGGGGTCGAAGAGAGAACAGTGCTGCTTGCTGGGCTCTCAGCCAGGTTTCAGTCACTTCCCCAGCTACCCACAAGCAAATTGGGCCCTTCTGGTGCTGACTCCGGGTGTGTGAGTAGAACACGTGGTGGCGAGTGGCGGGAGCATCTCTTCAGGTCACTGCTCGTCCCCAGTTCAGGCAACAATTACTGCAGGGGGATGGAGCACATCTTGGGGAGCGCAGCACGTCATGGGGAGCACGGTGCTCTGGGATCTGAGGGTTACCGTCCAGGGCCAGCTGAGATGAGACCTGGGACTCTGAATCCCACAGAGCCCGTCCCAAGGTGTCAGGGATGAGGGGAATAAACACAGAGTCATCACAAACACTTCTCTGTTTGCCAGGAGAAGGGGATGTGGCACATCCCTCTAGTGGGGAAAGCCCCAAGCCCCTTTGTTCAAAGGCTTTTATTGAAAAGGTTATCAGTGGGGCCTGGTAACAGAGATGCACAGCTTATCTCATTACATCAGTATGTTAATGTTCACAGAGAATAGATGATGCTTTGAAGAAGAAAAATGGCAGGAACACACCTACACTGATTTACACTGTCTGAGAGAAGACTAGTAAATAAGATTAAACTTGAGGGCATAGTAAACACAAGAGTGCCTAAAGGTATAGGGTTAGGGTCTGTGAATAAAGTAAATTTCCTTCCCAGCATGAGCTGGCTATAGCTTCCAAGGGAAAAACAAAGCACACTTTAAAGAATTTACTTTCAGGCCTGATTTCCCTGGGAACCGCCAGATCCGGTTCAGGACTGACCCCGGTATTGTTTCGAGCCTGAGCCAGGTGGGGGAGGGAGCTGCCAAGAGACAAGGAGACTTCTTTCAGATAGAATGAGGACTCTGGCCATGTCCAAGCCAAGTCAAGGGGTGCAGGCCTTTTTGCCCTTTCTCCACGTCCCCCAGTTCCTGTCTGCTACCCATACCCAATCGATAGGTTGTCATCTCTGCATGAGATAACTTATCTGTCATGGATTACGGACCATCACAGGGCAAAGCAGAGAGGCAGGAGCTATGCCCCTGCCAGGGAAGATAGGTTATGTCTCCTCAGGGGCCTGTTTCTCCAAGGCCTCCCTGATTATTTCCAGCCTTGAGGCTCTCCAGCCTGTCGGCAGGGTCACAGTCCCTGAAACCAGACAGGCATTTCCCAACATATGGTTCGTGTACGTTCTAGGACCCTGTGAGTCTCTGCAACAAACTCTCCTGTGAGGCTGAGAGTTTCTCTCACTGCCACAACCCCCACAGGTTTTTACAGGTAGAGGTTTTGAAGCTTTATTTCCGCACGCTGGAAGGGTGGGTAGTGCAGTCTGTCTTGTCCAGTTCCTCCTGGTTTATCTGCACACAAATGTGGGACCGCACAGTCTACCAGCTGCCACTTTGCCCCACGTCCTCTCTGCCCTGGCTGCCCATCTATGCCCCTCCTACCAGTCTGGATGTATGTTTCTTCTTTAACTCCTTGGTTGTCAGACTTCCATACAGTTTGATTTTCTGGCAGTTCTGGTTATTTTTTGTTTTTTGTTTTTTTTAATTTTTTTAAAGATTTTATTTATTTATTTTTAGAGAGGGGAAGGGAGGGAGAAAGAGGTGAGAAACATCAATGTGTGGTTGCTTCTCACGTCCCCCACGCTGGGTACTTGGCGTGCAACCCAGGCATGTGCTGTAACCTGGGAATCAAACCGGCGACCCTTTGGTTCAAATGCCAGCGCTCAGTCTACTGAGCCACACCAGCTAAGGCTATTTTTTGTTTTTAAATTTGTTGTTGTTCTTTTGGTTGTGTGAGGAGGCAAAGTGTATCTTGGCCGGAAGTCAAGAAATACTTTTTTTTTAAGTCTTTTTTTTTTTTTTTAAAGATTTTATCTATTTATTTTTAGAGAGGGAAAGAGAGGAAGAGAAACATCAAAGTGTGGTTGCATCTCTTGCGCCTGCTGCTGGCGACCTGGCATGCAACCCAGGCATGTGCCCTACCCTGGGAATTGAGCCGGTGACCCTTTGGTTCACAGGTGCATGCTCAATCCACTGAGCTCTACCAGCTAGGACAAGAAGGACCTTTTTTTAACCACTGATATTTCCATGAGTGCAGAAAGATTATTATTGACTTACTAGGTTGATTGTAATTCTCTTATCTGATTTTAAAAGTCCTAATTAAAAAGGGAAAGGGAGCCTGGCCAGGTTGCTCAAGTGGTTGAAGCATAGTACCATGCACCCAAAGACTATGGGTTCAGTTCCCAGTCAGGGCACATACCTAGGTTGCAGGTTCAGTCCCCGGTCACGGTGCATACAGGAGGCAGGTGGTCAATGTTTCTCACATCCATCTTTCTCCCCCACCCCCCTTCTCCATCTCCCTAAAAATCAATGAAACATATTCTTGGGTGAGAATTTACAAAAATTACTTTAAATGAAAAGAGGAAAAAGAACACAAAAATACTACACTTAAAATATAATTGGCTTTTTTTCTTCCTTTTTCAGTTACATGGTACATTTGCTGGAGTTGGCGGTGACTTTCATTGAGAGATTAGAAACCCATCTTGAAACAATTAGATATATTCCTCATTTAGATGAAAATCTAAAGAAAATGGTGAGTATTAACAATAGTGTTCACATACCTCATCAGCTCCTTTCACATTACTTTTAGCTATCTTTAGTCTTTTTATACTAGGATCTCAAATGTGTGACCTGTTTAACTTTTTGATGGCTAATATGAACGAATTATTTTTTTTAAATCAAGATGCTTTTTCTTTTTTATATTACTTTTCTTTAGAAGTCATTTTACATTCTTGTATTCCACTATTTAATAAATGTTACCTTCATTGTGCAAGGTATCGTGAGAGAGAAACAGATATGACTAATCCCTGCCCTCACGTTCTCAAAGTTTGGTGAGAGAGCTGTAAGATGCTTTCTACTTTCTGGTATATTTGCACAGTGAATGCAGCAGAAAATTATAAAGAAGAGGCTGTCTATTAAACATAGAAAAGGAAGGGATTACTTCCACTTTAGAGAGATTGGGAATAGGATGGGGGTAGGAATACTTCAAGAAAGTTTTATATAGGAGTTAGTAGTGAGTTGAATCTTGAATCAGTGAGGTTTGGACATGCTTCAGAGAGAATAGTTCAGCCAAAAGCAGCAGTGTGAGGAAGGACATGGAAGTTAGCACAAGTAGTTTGGGGGAAGAGTAGTACTCCACTTTGGGTGATGAGTAAAGGTATTGAGAGGGAGATTACTGGTAACTCAGGGTTGCTTTATGGAATGCCTTGGAAACCAGACTAAGAAGTTTAGACTTCACTGTCTGAGTACTGGGGAACCACTGAATTTTGTTTGTTTTGTTTTTTAGAGAAAGGTACAGAAGAGTGACTTGATCAGAACTGTACTTTAATCATGGAGAAAATACTGGATAGAGTAGACTGAGCGTTGCCACTCAGTGTGGGCAGAATCAACATAAGCATCTCCTGGAAGCTTGTTAGATATGCAGAATTGCAGATTTCATTCACGTTAGACCTTTAGAATCTGAATCTACGTTTTATGAACTTCCTCAGATGATTCCTATACACTTTAAAGTTTGATAAGCTGTGTGTTAGAGGACTAAGCAGAGGAACCAAAGGCAAAGAAACTTGGAGAATAAATATGTGTACTCAGACAAAAGATTTAAAACATAGGAATGCAAATGATTGTGTAAATTTTTAGATCTTGAAGGTCAAATTTCTAGAATATGGCGCTGTTTTGGACAAGGAACACATCCAAGTTAATGAAATTTCTAGCCTTGCTGGCCTGAGGGTGAGAAGGAGCCAAAGATTAAAGAAAATGAGTTTATTTTTTGATGTCTTGCACAGATAGTAAATGTTCAATCATTGTTTGTTGAATTGCAGTTAAAATGAGTTTGAGATACTGAATGTACATCCAGATGGAGATTTCCAACAGACTGAAATGTGGGACTGAATTTGAGGAAGGAGATTAGGTTTGACAGTATAGATTGAGGGTCATGTGCATTTAGGTGGTAATTGAAGACAAAGGAGAGGTACACTCACAAATGACAAAAACATGTCTGTAAAAAGTGGGAAAGCAAGGCACCTTTGTATTCAGGGATTTGGAAAAGATCAGGTGTTAACTTTTGGTATCATAACCATTTGTGATATAATAATGGTATATTAATGATAGGCATAATTTCTCTTCTGTTTTCCCTTTCTTTCAAATGTTACAGAGCAGTGCTTTAGCCGAGATGGATATTTTGGTGACTGAGACAGAAGAACTGGCAGAGAATATACTTAAGTGGCGAGAACAACAAAAGGAAATTTCCTCTTGTATCCCCAAAATATTAGCTGAAGAAAATTATCCTCATAAACATGATGTTACCACGCCTCCTTTACCTCTTACTTCTAAAGTTCATGTCCAAATGGTTAATGCCAAATGATTAAACTGATTCAGTTAAGAAAAAATAAATCACTTTTGCCTAATTGTGTGTAGTCTTGGGAAGTCCATTTCTAGTCAATGGTAACATGGGTATTTGTAGGCTTTGCTGCTAGCAGTACTAAAAGAGCCCTCAATACCGAAGTACTGAGATTCCAAGTTCATTGAGACCAAACAAAATTTACTTTTTTTTAATCCTCCCCCACAGATATGTTTGTTTAGAGTGAGAGAATGGGGGGAAGAAGTACCAGTGTGAGAGAGAAACATCAACCTATGTGTGTCCCACTGGGGATTGGGCCTGTGACCTTTTAGTATACAGGACAACACTCCAACCAGCTGAGCCACCTGGCTAAGGCTACTTTGTTTTTCATATATTTTTATTCCACTTTTCAGTAAAACTTATGAAGATCAAGTATAACTATGACAATTTATTAATGAGTGTACCTCCATATCTCAGGCAGCAGACTACGTCTTATTTCTGAATTAGAAGAGTTTTCTTGAATCTGAAAGTATGTTGATTGGTCCTGTGAGATTGTCACTAAATGTGCAAAAAAGTAACATACTATCTTTTAAAAGGCTTGCTTGCAAAGTGGGTCCTTTGCTGGTGCCTGGGAACTTAAATTTCAAGAAGATACCTCCACTCTCATTGATAAAGAGTTTTTGTCTGGGGTGAAGCTGTACAGTGTTTTTTGCTGAACACCTGCTTTCCTTCTGGGAGTCTAGAATGTTGATACATGCTAGGTAGAAGGCACCTATGTGACTAGCCTACAAAACTAACTCTGGATATGGCATGTCTTTCATGGTAGGCATTTCACACATGTCACAACTCAGGTGCCGGGGGAATTAAGGACATCCTTTGTGACTCCACTAGCAGAGGACTATTCCTCTGGAAGCTATTCCTGGTTTACCCCAGGCTTTGTTCCATGCACCTTTTCTCTTTGCTCTCTTGCTTTTACATTTCTACTGTAATAAACCATAGCCATGAATACAGTGAGGTGCAGGGTCTTGTAAATCCTCCAAGCACGTCACCAAACCTGAGTGGGGTGAGTCTTGGTGACCCTGACACACTAAGTCCTGAGGGTGGTCACTGGCAGCTTTAGGAATAGGCAAAGAAAAAAGCACAGTATGGTACAACTCTTAGAGTTTACCCTATAAAATGTGCAGATGTTTTACCTGAGATTATTGTGCATATAAAAGGAAATGGTATGCTAAAATTTACTAAGCTTCATAATGTATTCTTTTGTATCAGTAGTATAACTACCCCTGGCTTATCATCAGACTTGGGGTTCTCTTTTGCTTTAAAATGTGTGCATCTATTTTTTTTAAATATATTTTTTTTAATCTTTACCTAAGGACATTTTTTTCATGGCTTTTAGAGAGAGAAACATGGATTGGTTGCCTCCTGTACACACCCAGACCAGGGATCCAACGTGAAACCCAGGTATGTGCCCTGACTGGGAATGGAAGCTGAAACCTTTTGGTTACAGGATGCTGCTCCAACCAACCGAGTCACACTGATCGGGGCACATCAGTATTTTTATACTGTCGTATTGTCTGTATCACTGGGGTCACTGATCCTTGTATTCATTATACTCAACACAGGAAGACCTCAACACAGTGGATGAGTAAAGTAGTTGTTCATAAGGAAACAGGATCATTCCCAAAAAAGTACCCTACTAAAACAGGGATATTTTGATGCCTATTTTGCTGACTTTTGCAATTGAGTTATAGTACAATGGTCATTCATTGACCATTGCCTAAATGTTGCCTAACACGCAAAATTTTCAGCTGTATTTCATCAGAAATCTGTTCGTGTCTAGTCTTGGTTTCAAACATATTATTGTGCTGTTTCATGTGATTTCCTCTAATAGTTTATCTACAGAGTGGGGCAAAAGTAGGTTTACAGTTGATCAGATGGAAAATAATATAACATTCACATACAAGTGAAAGTATATTTTATTGGTGAGGCTGATACAGTTGTCCCAATTTTTTTTCCCTTTGTCCTCCTCTGCCCTCTAGCAATCCCCACACCCTTAGTTCATGTCCATGGGTCACGTGTGTAAGTTCTTTGGCTTCTCCATTTCCTATACTATTCTTAACATCCCCCTCTCTATTTTGTTGCTGCCAAATTTGCCTTTTGATCCCTGCACCATTTCTACTTTTCTCTCCCTTTCCCCTCCAAATCACTTGATAATCCTCCAAATGATCCACATACCTATGATTCTCTTCCTGTTCTAGTTTGTTTTTGTTATTTTTTAGATTCAGTTGTTGATAGTTGTGAGTTTGCTGCCATTTTAATGCCCATAGTTTTGATCTTTTTCTTAAATAAGTCCCTTTAACATTTCATGTGATAATGGCTTGGTGATGATGAATTCCTTTAGCTTTACCTTGTCTGGGAAGCACTTTATCTGCCCTTCCATTCTAAATGATAGCTTTGCTGGATAGAGTAATCTTGGATGTAGGTCCTTGCCTTTCATGACTTTGAATACTTTCCAGCCCCTTCTTGCCTACAAGTTTTCTTTTGAGGAATCAGCTGACAGTCTTATAGGAACTCCTTTGTACGTAACTATGTTCTTTTCTCTTGCTGCTTGTAATATTCTCTCTATCCTTAACCCTTGGTATTTTAATTGTGATGTGTCTTGGTGTGGTCATCTTTGGGTCCAACTTGATTGGGACTCTGTGCTTCCTGGACTTGCATGTCTATTTCCTGCACCTACATAAGGAAGTTTTCTTTCATTATTTTTTCAAATAGGTTTCCAATTTCTTGCTCTTCCTCTTCTGGCACCCCTATGAGGCAAATATTGGACTTCTTACAGTTGTCCCAGTGGCTGCTTATACTACCCCAATTTTTTTTGTATTCTTTTTTCTTCTTGTTCTGATTGTTTTTTTTTTTTTGTTTTGTTTTTGTTTTTTTGCTTCCTTGTATTATGGATCACTGATTTGATTCTTGGCTTCATCCATTCTACTGTTGTTTGTAAATTGTTTTTTATTTCAGTTAGTGAATCCTTTGTTTCTGACTGGGTCTTTTTTATGCTGCTGAGGTCCTCAGTTCCTTGCGCATCCTGATAACCAGTGTTTTGAACTCTGCATCTGATCGATTGCTTATCTCCATTTCATTTAGTTTGGTTTTTTTTTTTTTCTGGAGTTTTGATCTATTCTTTAATTTGTGCCATGTTTCTTTGCTCATTTTGGGAGCCTCCCTGTGTTTGTTCCTATGTATTAGGTAGAGCTGCTTTGACTCTGTGTCTTGGTAGTGTGGCCTAATGTAGTAGGTGTCCTGTAGGTCCACTAGCACAGCCTGCCCTATCACATAAACTGGGCATTCAAGGTGTGCCGTTTGTGTGGGCTGAGTACACCTTCCTCTTGTAGCTGAGCCTTGATTGCTCTTGGTAGATCTCTGGGAGGGATTTACCCAGGCCAGTTAGCTCCAAGGACTGGCTATGACCACTTACCACCAACCTCCTCCCTCTGTGGAGGATCTGCTGTGCAGGGGCAGGGTGGTGGTGCTCCGAAGTGGTCTGTAGGTGTCCACTAGCTGTGCTAGCTTTGGGTTTCCTGGGTGGTGCAGGCCAAGGTCAGCCCTCACCTGTGTTTTGCGCAGGGCTGCCCTTCCTGAGCTATACAGTAATCTGAGATGGCTGCTATTTGTGCTGGGCTTGGAGATTCCCAGGGGAAGCCAGGCTGTGAAACTAATGTGTCTGCTGCTAGTACCCGTCCTGGAGCTCACAGAGGCCAGCTGCTGCTGATTTGATAGGATTTAGGAAGTTGTGGTGCAGTAGCCCTGACCAGTTATTCACATGGAAAAACAGCTCCGGTGGGCTCATAAATTGGATGGGCCGGAATCCCTGGAGATCTCCCGGGTGGGGCAAACAGTGTTAGCCAGGTTGATGAAATCTCAACTATGGCACCAGCCTGCTGGCTCCATGGTTCTTTTTGGGGAGGGGGAGTTGGAGTGGAGGATGGCTCAGAAAAAGGAGGCCTCTGCTCAGCCTCTCCCACTGTGCCACTGATGCCCTTCAAGCTGCCATCCCGGCACTGGAGCTCAGAGGGAGTCAGTCGGAGTAGGTGAGTCTGTCCATGGGTTTTTTAAGAGGAACTGCTTGGGGCTCTGGAAGTTTTTTTCCACTGACTCAATCTGCACTGGTTTTTGCATCCATAAGTTGTGGGGACTTATCTTCCTGGCACTGGAACTCTGGGCTGGGGGGCCTGGTGTGGAACTGGGACTCCTCACTCCCGAGTATCCCTCCTGAATTTTTATCCACCACATGTGGGTGAGAGACCGGCCTGTTCTGTGTCTGCACCCCTCCTACCAATCCAGATGGATGTGGTTTCTTAAATTCCATAGTTGTCAGATTTCCATTCAACTCTATTTCTGACATTTTTGAATTACAGTCGTTCTATATTTTATTTGTAATTTTGATGTAGTTGTGCGATGAGGTGAGACATGTCTGCCTATGCTACCATCCTGACCAGAAGCCACCACCCCCCGAAACAAATGAAGTTAAATAAAAAAAAAGTATTCCACAGTTTGGGGAATCCACTCATGTAATTGAGTTTACTTAAAATTAATATAATTAGACATAAGCAGATTACATTCTAGAATTCTTTGAATTTTGCCTTTTTTCCTTTTTTCTAGTTCCCAAGTTATATTTTCCCCTCTCCTTTTAGAAATGTCTTCTCATGTTTGTAGGAAAAGATTTCCATTAGGATACGGTAAGAGCAAGAGCCCCATTATTGGTTTATGAACCTTTCCTGGGACACTCACTTTATAGACTTCTAATATTGCTATACCAGCATCTAGGGTGATATAATAGGGGTAAAATATCTTATTTGAGACTTTAAACTGCTTAATTTTCTTGATGTGGAAGGCTAGTAAATGTGGAAGCTATTAATTTTCTAAAAGTTGAAGTGAGATTACATTTCAAGGGTCCGAATACACTTATCAAAATCAGTTTACTTCAAGATGGCAACATATGCTTACCTTTGATCAGTAGATGCTAATAAAAGTTATTTATCTTTAAAGAGGGGAAGAAAGGGGGGGGGGTGCCTCAC